ATAAAATGATTAAAAGAAGAAGAAGAAGAATTACAGTTTTGGAAACCCACAGAGGCCGTTCTACCCTATCCTGTAGGGTCACTATGACTTGAAATCTACTTGGTGACTTTTTTTTTTAGTATGTCCTTTAGAAGTATCACCTGGAAAGAAAGCATGCCAGTGAACAGTAATTTTCAAAAGGGCAGTAACAAGGTGAGTCTTCCACAACTTAATTTGGACTGTGGTTTTAAATTTTTCTTTCCTAAAATATGAATATGTGTTTTACAGCTAGGAAATCCTTGCGGCCATGTTGTCGGGGCCTATTAAATTAAAACTTGTGTGAAGGTGTACTTTTCCTGTGTTTTATTTAAAACAGAGACAAACACCTTCCTTTGTTTTTCTTGTAATTCAAAAGGTTTTCTTGTAATTCAAAAAGTGTGAATTACATGAATGATGATGCTGTCACTCCTAAGAGACAAGAGGACTCAGGGTGAATGAATTCCTGTGACTGATTCGGACTTTCAAATGGTTTGTGGGGAGACTAAATAGAAGCAAAATCATTAAGATAAATTAGAGTGCCAAGTTTAGCAGCTGTTGCAGTTGTGAACACCACCACCACCACCCCAAAAAAACTCTGTATTATAAATCCTAACCTCTCTACTCCTGGCTCCAATCCCATTTAGAAATACGTAGTTGTTATGTGAGTGAGGCAGGATTAGTGCAGGGTACACTTTTCACGATCTCTTCTGAAATAGAAAGGAGGTTAGACAAACAAGGAAAAACAGAGAAGGGAGGAGATGACAAGCCACATGAAGATCACTGGGTGCAGAAACCTGAGAAACGAGGAAGGCCCTTCCTGCAGAGCTGACACAAAGAATCTTCCCCTAGGGCAGGCACCCCGAATTCAGGAATTCAGCCCGAGCCTCCTAAACTGTGAGAAAATGCATTCCCAGCAGCTTTAGGGGGCTAAGTCAGTCACTGCATTCACTGAGACTAAAAGTACTGACTGTGGAGACACATAGGCAACTCGAATTCGATGGGGACAGGAGAACGCAAGAAAGAGCGAAACACTGACGTGTTAAGACGTAACAATAAAACACTGCACGGGATTTCAACAGAGGGTGTGATTCTAGGGTCACCCTGACCACCTCTTTAATTGCGTAGCCTGTTGGTGGTACTCCCAATCCCTCTCACCCGACTCTTCTTTGCCTCTTTTTCCATCACGTTTATCATCTTCCAATTAGGCTATGAACCTTATTCATTAAGTTTTCAGGAACTGTTTGTCCTGCTATGAAATACCTAAGTGTCTGACACCAGGGGTCTTTTTTTCTGTTCAACTGTGTCTTTTTAGCACATAGAATAGTGCCTAGCAACAGAGAATAGATACCTTTTCATGCATGTGAAATTGTATACAGTTGTCTAAATATGTGCATGCAGGCTGGGAACGCTATGGGGCAGTTCTAAGTCTGTCCTATAGAATCACTCTACGCTGATATCAGCTCACTGGCATATAACAGAGATTCCTAGAGGAATGCACCCTACGTGGTAACTCGTTATCTTTCAGGTGGTGAGATCTCTGAACATTGAAATTTTTTTGTCTCTGTACTTGTCCACTATGTGTGATTGTGTGTGTGTGTTTTAATGAGTACTTGTTATTTTCTCAGATATTTGTTTAAAAAAATAAAGCGCCTTAATATCCTAACCACTTCTTTGAACCTTTGAAAATCATTATTTTTCCGAGCAATCCCTGTCAACCATAGTCACCGGTGTGTTTCTGAAACGGAGAGAAGAAAGTCAGAAAACCACATACAGCCCATGCGTCTAGTCACAAACGTTTACCGAGAATTTTCAAACAATCACCTTGGAAACCACTTGGCGTGCTGCACCCACGGATCGTCTCCGGATTCCCAGCACCGCAGTCCGCCGTCGCAGCAAAAGCATTTGACATCATCACTGTGACCTGAAATTAAGGGGGGGGCCACACTTATGAATACCGATCATTTACCCATAAGACACATAATACAAGCTACAGGGACTACACACGTGTTATGAGGCTAGGGTTCTCACCCACGTAATAAAAACCGGCACTCGCAAGCTGCTCGGGGTGCACCGGAACGCTGGCTGGCCAATGACAGAACGTTTTCAGCCGCGCTGCCAGGGTCTGCATGCTCAGGTTCGAAAC